TTCAACCAGCAAAATAAAGTACAGAAAGTACTGAATTTTACTTACTGATAGAAATGAAGGTGTAATGGATTATCTGTTAGTACAATCAGTACCACAGCTTACCATCTTTGTCCAAATATTTCCATGATTAACCCCCAGAAACCCAAATTTAGAAAACAACTGCAAAATCTTTTTTTTAACCTTTCACATGTTGTTCTAGGAGGCCAGATAAACGGGCCTATTTACACATTTTAACAGCCAATAGTGTTGCAGAACTGAACAATAGGACCTATTAGCAATGTAAATGTGGTTTTGAAAAGAAAAAAAATGGGGAAGGTTTATTTTTGTGGACTTAAATCTGATGTTGTAATATTACAACCGTGGGTCTCTGGGGATTAACATCTAAACATGAACACAGAGAGGACAACTAAAGTTCAGAGAGTTGAAATGGCCAAACATATATTAACGCAAGTCCAAGGATGAGGCCTTCCCCGGAGCAAGCTGCTAGCACTAGTTCTGGCGCTCATGCTACCTGTCAATCAAATCAAATTATCCATAATTTAAAACATAAATCCCCCCTCAGAGTTGCCATGACTGTAAACTAGAGCTATTAAACTTAAAATGTTTTTTGGAACCAGTCATGTTTATTTCTACTGTGAGGTTGGCATGTTTTAGTATGGGAGCCAAAAAAACGTTGTCTTTTATGGACCAAGCGCCTAGTGGCTGAGAGGGGTTCTGCAGTTGTTGTCAATTCTGTGCTGGCTTCAGGTTTGGGGGCTGAAAATTGCCCATTGGTCTAAACAGAGACAGATGATTCTCTGTGGCAACCCCAGAAGGGAAAAGCAGGAAGAGATGAAGAAGCTCTTCTAAGAAAAATGCTGATGATTTGATAACAGCTCAGCAGAGCATTAGTGGCATTCAGACAACGTGACGGCATTTATTGATGCATCAGTGTGCAATAACACGTCACATTACGAGATGTCATATTTCCAATAAAAGATGCTTTTAAAGGCTTGGAGACAGACAGAACCACATCAGTGCATTACTGGGTATTTATTGAGACAAATTCAAACCTTCCTTGTCTGTATGATGTAAATATTTCTTCCCTTGTATATTTATGTATTAGCTGGACATATTCCATGAGGCTTTGTTTGATTTATTGACCCTGCTGTCTATGAAATGAATTTGCATGCAACAGTATGTGCTCTTTTACACTAAAATCATGGGTACCTCACCCTCGTTTAGGGGAAGCTGAAGAACAGAGCAGAGAAATGAGTTTGTGTCTCCTGTTTTCTTTTCTTTTCAGCAGATAAATGTGTCCAAGAATTTCTAAGATTCACAACACAATCTTGTTGCAGAGAAGCAGACTTTGGCCTCAGGAAACAAAGAGTGATTACAAATTAGAAACATGTTGCATCAAGCAAATCCATCTCACTGGGTGTCATCTGTGTTTGGCACCAGAATGCACAGATTTCCATCTGGCTTTTCAGAGGACTTTGTGTTAGGGATGTCCCGATCCGATCACATGATCGGAAATCGGCCCGATCACGTGGTTTCACTGATCGGGACTCGGGCTTTACTTCCCGATCCAAGCCGCGATCCGGAGTTGGATAACTTGGTTCTCCTTAAAGGTTGTCAGGCTCCCCTGATGCCCTTAAGCATAGGCGTCATTTTAACCGGGGACGCCGGGGACATGTCCCCGGCAAAATTTGTGATTTGCAGCTGTGTCCCCCCCACTTTCAAAAAATGAGTTTTTTTTACCAGCTCAGATCATATACCTACGTCTGCTCCCAGCAGATTTTTTTAATGTAGCAACTGGCATCTAATTATTTATACTTGAGCTTTAAATAAAAATAAAACCGTAATTAATTAATTAATTAACTTGTAACATTTCTGAAAAAGTGCCCTGCGTTATGCTGAGTTCTCTACCCTGCTGCCCTGCATGCAGCTGTCAGCAGTTGTGATAAGCAGGAGAGCACGTCACCCACACTGCTCAAGAATCCCTTATTCTTGTTTAGCTCCAAGAGGTAAGCAATGTTATATTTTATTTAACACCAAAAGAAGGTGATATTTTAATGTGATTAATGCAGGGGTCCTTCAGGCGTGCTTACAGCCACCCCAGCTGTTAGCATGTGGAGGTGAGTACACGTGAGCAGAATAATATGTTAAGTCGATTTTAAGTTGAGTTAAGTAGCTTTTGTGACTTGTTTTTGAAGTGTTCTGTGAGAAGTTTAGCTGTAGCTTTAAAAAGAAACCAAGTTATATGGGTGATAATGCTTCGATTAGCGTGTCGCTAATAGAAGCTAACTTCTCGTGAGAGAGTGTTAAGTTACTTCGCTGTCTTTTTAACCTGAACAAAGTGTGATGCTGGATAACACACATTAGCCACGTTTACATGCGCAAAATCTCCTCTATCCGATGAAAATCTTGGCTGTTCGGAAATCCCAAATGTCTGTTTACATGGACACTATTTTATGCACCAAGCATTCAATCCGAATAAATAGGTTGAGCATGCGCAGAGAGTTGTCTTTCCCGGAAAAGATGGTAAACAAATGCCATGAAACGAAATGAAAAGTGTATTAAAATCAGTGAATCCGGTAGTTCACGGACAGCTAGGTTGTCGGAGTGTGGAGTTGACCAGAGAGTGGAGCCTGATATAAAGATGAGTATTTTTCTCTGAAAATCTCATTTGACAGTCACAAATAATATAGTAAGGATATATATAATATAATACAATAATAATAATGCAAAAGAGACGCACTTAGCTACAACGATGTTCTGCTGAGCTGTGGTGGCCTCATGGAGGGGGCCATCGTATAGCACACTGCTGCTAACCACTAAAACATTCTCCCTCTCCTGATAATAACTTTTTACTTTCCTTGACATTGAATGTGCTACTACTAGTTTATCCGTTTAATTATAGATTCACTAGGATAAATACAATAAAGTTTATCTCTCACCAAATAGAATATTTACTAAGAAATCACAATATAACTATAGACACATTACTTGTGTGTGTGTGTGTGTGTGTGTGTGTGTGTGTGTGTGTGTGTGTGTGTGTGTGTGTGTGTCTGCTCTGTCTTCTCGATCCCCAGTGAGTCGTGGAGGATGGCTGCTTATACTGAGCCAGGATTCTCTGGAGGTTTCTTCCTGTTAAAAGGGAGTTTTCCTCTCCACTGTCGCTTTATGCTTGCTTAGTATGAGGATTGCTGTAAAGTCACTGACACTAGTCAGTGACTTGATGCAATTTGCTGGGTTCCTTATATAGGAAACATTATTTCTGATTGGCTTAATGAACTGACCTGAATTGGAATGTTTATTATGTGAAGTGCCTTGAGACGACTCTTGTCGTGATTTGGCGCTTTATAAATAAAGTTGAATTGAATTGAACTTAAACAGGAAATTTGAATGATTTAACCTCACAAAGCTTAAAGGCACGGTCCGTAAAATGACGCCGTCAGGGTGAGGAGGAGGAGATTTTTAAATTCGAACGGCTGTTGCTCACTCCCCCGCCCTTCCTGAAAGAGCCGAAAGCCACGCCTCCTAATGTGCATGCGCAGGAAAAGCAGAGTCAACACCAGAGCATTGCTTCTTCATAATAGAGCTGAGCTAGTGTTAGCAATGGAGTTATCTGAGGTAAGAAAGTTGTTTTTAACCAGCACATTAAACACTTACTGTTTATAAAGGCATTTTATAAAGAATATCTATAAATATATATATATATTAAAATACCAGTAACAGTTGACAATCTATATTGTAAATAAAATGAATCCTATCAAATTGTTAGCATTTTATTACGAGTAATTAGCTTATTTTTAATTGCTTTGCCATTCAAGATGGGATGAATATATCAGAGCATATAATTTATGTGGAAATCATGAATAAACACTGCATTCTGTGTAGTCCTCCTATAATCATGGTTGTTTTCATAGGGTTTCTGTTTATTGTTGGTTTAGCCCAAATTTTGACTAGATGCAAACCTGATCTGTGTCAAAATTGATTAATATGCCAGAGTACTTTTTATAATAGTATAATTTTTTTATTCTAATACAATTTAGAGTTCAGTGATTGAGGAATCCTCTGAGGAAGAGTTTGAACCTCCCATTGCATCCTCAAGACGTGGTGCAAAAAGGAGATGCCCACCATCATCTCAAAGACGTGGTGCATCCAGAGGCCGTGGTGCATCTAAAGGCCGCGGTGCATCCAGAGGCCGAAGAAGTGCGAGACACTCAGCTGTGGACCTTGGAGATGAAGATCTCTCGAGAGAGAGCGAATAGACTTTGAACGTGTAAGCATAACAATATTACACTAAATGATCCTAAAATCTGTTGCTGTAGCATCTCTTTCCACTTTTGTAGCAACACATACAGAACCTGAACCCTCAGCAGGCTATTGACGTCCTTACCATGGTGCTGGACAGAGACCCTGGTGTTCTCTTTGATGTACTTGCCCTCTCTGGTCCACCTGCCACAACACCTCCAACATCCAATCAACCTTCATGGTGTGTATACTCCCACTGCAGAGATATGCCAACTGATTTGGAAAAGAAATGCTGCCAACAGCCTCCCCAGACATGTATTTCAACTGTACCACACATGGAGGAGTTTATTCTGCAAAATGTTGTTCTTCGCCTGGCCAGAACATTGTGGAATGAGTTTCGAGCAGTTTATGATGACCCGGACCCTGGTGAGGACGACAGACAGTTCCGCCATGCAGCTTACAGACAATTTGTAGCATGGCAGCATGGAAAACTTGGTGGAGGACGCAGAGTAGTAATCCCAAGCTGTTGTCTGGGGGATAAGGGAAAAATTCCCTGACCCCAATGGTAACTACACTGGTTTTATTCCAAGACGATTGGAAATAAATGTATATATTTGATATTTTACATAAGTTTGTTTTTTATACATTTTTGTTTGATGCTCTAATAAAGTGTTCTAAAGCATAACTCTGTGTTGCATTTGTAAAAATACCATAAATGTTAAAACTCCAGCACAACAACAAAAACTTAAATCTACCTCCAGCATTTTACATACATTTTTAAATTATTAGTCCTTATTTCCCCAAAATATATCTTTATTTTAAAACAAACAAACAAAAAAAAAACACAGGAAACAAAAATAAAGAAGGTTTTGGGTTTTCTCTTGCCTCCCCCAACACCTATGTCTTTGGCAAAGTTTTACCTGTAAATAAAAAATAAACTCAATTAGCAATGGACTATTGTGTGGAAGATGTAAGGCAGATAATGTTTTATTTTACCATCACCATGAGTCCGTAGGTGTTGTAGAAGTTCCTCTGTTGATGGTGCAGGGACTCCGGACAGCAAACCGTAACGCCTTGGATCCTCAGGCCTTAGCTTGTAGCGTCGAGGAAGACCTTTCTTGCTTGTCAAACGTTGGTTGACGATCATGGTTTGGATCTCTGGGATGTAGAGTAGTCTTTTGCCACCTTTTAAGAATACAGCCTCCAGCATCTTGATTTTTTGTTGAATATTTTATGGTATCTGAAATGACACATGCCATAACTTGTAGTAGAGCCCTGCACTGAAGCCCTAGGCCCTCGGCCCGGCAGCCCTCGGACCGGGCTTCGGGCCAATGACTGTGTAATTACCTCGGACACGGGCCGGGCCGGGATCCTTTATTTTTAATCGAATTCTTTTAAAAAAATTTGAAACACCTAAACCAGGGGTCGGCAACCTGTTCCCATCAAAGAGCCATTATTACCCGTTTCTCACAGTAAAGAAAACACTGGGAGCCACAGCAGCCGCGGCGTTGTGGGCGGGGCCTACCCTCAGACAGCAGAGAGCTGCTCACAACAGGTGACAGCAGCCAGTACCGGTCGCTCGTGTACATCAAAGCTATCTTTCATAAAAAGATAATCAATAAAACGATTTATATAAAATGGATCCAGAAGTTGTAGCCTGTCTCTGTCTACAATATTTTGATATTTTTCACCCTGTTGGTGGTTTTACTGAGCAGGTGCCACTTTTTTCATACGTTTCTTTTTAAAACATGTTTAGACTGTTCAGAATACAATTCCAGGCTCTGTCACATTTGATTGTTGTAATTAAACTTTGTAGGTGGGGAAGGTCAGAAAAGGATCCGATCATTTTGTTTTTCCCTCATTTACAGTGACGGAGATAACGGCGCAGTGCGCCTGGCTCTGGTGTTAAGTTTAATTATATCTCTTTGCAACAATTTTCACAAGAAAACAGAACAGTTAAAAGCAGGGCTTGTGTTGACCGGATAGTTCCCGCATTTGACCGTTTATTTTGACGGAGAAAGAAAAGAAAGAATTACCCCGACGCATGCAGACGAGCTGACATTTTATTCTACGCACATCGCAGATGTAGCTAAATCACCAAAGAAAAGATTCCCATCTGAACATCTGAGCTGGACACTGCTCAGCGCAGCTCACTGTCAGCGTGTACTACATAAGGTACACAGCGAGCTGAAGATGTGGAGAGGGGCTTGGAGCGTGTCGCAGAACCAGAGCACATGTGGGAAGATTCCTCCCAATGAATTCATTCAGAGGAATCTTCCCGCTGATCTGAATCTGATGCGGCTCTCTGTGCTTGTAAAATAATGAATGGATATTTAAATAAAATGCTTTATATTTTACTGAATTAATTTTATATCTGTAAGTCAATTCTATGTAAAGATTGTCTGCGTAAACCTGAACAGGCCCAACCCGGTCTTACTGTGAGACCGGGTTGACGGGTCACACTTGGGCGTAATCATAGGCGCTTTCTGAGCTGAAGAGGATGTGAGATTCTGGGATTCTCCTCATACGGCTCATGGATGCGTCGCCACATTGGAGACAGGAACAAGCACTATTCAGCCAAAGTTTCATAATCAGGGAACATTTTCTAAGTTACAAGTCTCTCTGAGAGACAGGGTTTGGAAAACACTCGCTTCAGTGGGAGGAATCTTCCCGCATGCGCTCTGGTTCTGCAACGCGCTCCAAGCCAATCTCCACAACTTCAGCTCGCTGTGCACATATGCGCTGAGAGCGAGCTGCGCTGAGCAGGGCCCAGCTCAGGTGTTCAGATGGGAATCATTTCTTGGGTGATTTAGCTACATCTGCAATGTGCGTAGAATAAAATGTCAGTACGTCTGCATGCGTCGGGGTAATTCTTTCTATTCTTTCTCCGTCAAAATAAACGGTCAAATACGGGAACTATCCGGTCAACACAAGCCCTGCTTTTGACTGTTCTGTTTTCTTGTGAAAATTGTTGGAAAGAGATATAATTTAACTTGATTACCACCAGAGCCAGTGCGCCGTTATCTCCGTGACGGTAAACGAGGGAAAAACAAATTGATCGGATCCTGCACGTCTTTTAACACATTGGTCAGGATTGACGCATTTGTTTTCATTTAGTTGGTTAAAAAAAAGTCGGGCTCGGTTCGGGCCAGAGAATCCTGAAAACCTTTTCGGACCGGGTCGGGCTGAGGCTCCACCCCCTCGGGCCGGACAGGGGCTCAGATTTTAGGCCCGTGCAGGGCTCTAACTTGTAGTATACAACAAATTAGCTGAAAAAGTGTTTTAAGTGAAAAATAATTTAGGTAAGCCCCACCTGGAGGCACTATTATTGAAAATGTGGTGTTTCTGTTATTCTACAGTTGGCCTCTTGACAGCATGTTGTTAAACCAATATGTAGCAGTTAGGAGCGTTGTGGTTGTTCATCTGAGGAAGTTGTTAATAAAAAATGACTAAAACTGGACCAGTGAATTATGAATTCATGAGTGTATGTTTCATTTAAAATATAAATAAATAAATACATACTGTATCGATCCATCTGCTCTCCTCTTCACTTCTCGATGTGAGTGGTGATTGTAGTCCAATGCAGCAAGCAGTATCCGTGCCTCGTAAACAGGTGGGATGTAACTGAATCTTTTGCTTACATACATTAGGAGATGGTTGTGAAACGCCTCCAAATTTGCTGTAGATCTAAAACAAGAATTTAACATTTAGAACAATTATATTATTATTTATAGCTATAATTAAATACAGTACCTGAATTTCAAATATTTTGAGAATTTTTTCAGCCAGCGTTCACTGAGAATGATGTCACTGAGGGCTTTGTGTGGAGTGGAGCCTTTCTGAATCCAGTCTCTCTCTCTGTCACTTATGTGACAGTGTGAGCGTCCTGTCACAATGTCCCGATTGATCACGTGCCCTGGCTACTTGGCCAAGGGGATGTCCCTTTGGCTGACTGGTCAGTGCGTATAACTCTCACCCGGGAGTCTGGGGATCGAATCCCGCCCGGGCCCTCGTTTATCCACCTTGCCACATTTGGCGTTGTTGGCAGGATCCATGTAGTACTGTCACGTAGGTCCATGGATGTGAAGTTTGTGGCACCCTGCGCGGGAGCACGAGGACATGCTTGTGGAAAGAGGGGGGAAGATGTGACAGTGTGAGCGTCCTGTCACAATGTCCCGATTGATCACGTGCCGTGGCTACTTGGCCAAGGGGATGTCCCTTTGGCTGACTGGTTAGAGCGTATGACTCTCACCCGGGAGTCTGGAGATCGAATCCCGCCCGGGCCCTCGTTTATCCACCTTGCCACACTTAGTAAAGGATCATGCTGACAAGCATCCAGAGACCACTCGTGTTCTCCAGTCACATGATGGAGTAGACCGATCCACATGTCCTAAAAGACATATGTGGCGATTAGTTACATTCACTTTTTTTTATATGAAAACACAAATAATGTACTTACAAAAAAACAAAAACCAGCAAAACCAAAAAATGGTTACAGATATCTTTGTTCCACTGTAATAAAACCAGTCTCCCCAGCCTTCACAGATTTCTGCACAAGCTGATTATCATTCCTTTTATTTTAATATGGAGTTTTCACGTAGGTAAGACCACAAAATCAGACGTAATCTGTACACGTGGGTGGCCCACCCAGGTTAGCACAATATGTCTTTCAGTGCTAATGGAAAAGTAAGGTTTTGGATACGTTCCTCATCAATCACACCTAATTCTAACTGCTGAATCATCTCCTCAGACTTCTACAAGTACTACATGAGCTGCTGATTACTCCTTTTAATCAAACAAGCAGCTCAGGAAAGTGTGAACATCTAATTCAGCATTCAAGATGCTAACTGAACCCAGCTAACGGGGAAGTTATAAACAAGAGCTTAAAACAATACACTGATATGGCCAGGGTCCGAAATTTAATTTTTTACTCACCGGCCAAGTTGGCCGGTAGATGATGAAAATCTACCGGCCAAGCATATTTTTTACCGGCCAAAATTCTAAATGATTTAGATCTACCTAAAGCATGTAATTCTATATTATGTTGATTCCAAACAGAGTGACAAAATAATTAAAACATCAATTAATAAGGAAAACAACTCTTTTGTCATTTTTACTATTTATTTATTTATTTTTAGAGATGTTTTTATGAACTCTTTCATTGAAATCTAGTCAGACTCCTTGTTTTCTCTGTCCATGAAGTCTGGCCTCCTGCTTCTGACACTGTCTTTGTGCCAAAGCATTACTGCCTCATTTGGGTCATAGTCCTTGATCTCTGGAGAAGACAGCTGCACCATGAGAATATCTGAAAGTGTGTCAGGGCTAGGGTTGTCACGGTAACCGGTGTAGCAGTAAACCCCGGTAAAAAAAGGTTGACAATAATAATAACAGTCTTGTTTAGAAAAATATCTCGGTGGATTACCGTGGCTGCGGCGTAGGCGCTGTGACCCTTACCAGCCACCGTATCATCTGTTGGAAGTTGCCGGCGGCACATGCGCACTTTGTTGTTTACGACCAAAACTTTCTTTAAGCTAAAGCTGAAATAATGGCAGGAGGAGACGGCAGCACTTGGGACATTTATTATCCCTCAAAGAAGACAAAGTCGGAAGTACGGGCATTTTTTTGGATATTTGAAGAATGCCGAGGGCCAGATGTCTGTGAAAGGCAGCAACGCTACGTGGCCATCATATTGTAGCCATTGTCTCACGACTCCGCCGTCTCCATTTCGCCACTTTTCACAAAATCTTCTGGTTGCCACTGGTCCTGGTGGTTTTTCTTCCAGTTCGACGAGTTTTCTTTTGGAAGACTGGCTGACTCCAGTTAAAAACCGCCACATTTCACCGCTAGTTTTAACACGAAGCTAACGGCTAACTTGATAAACTGATTGAATGGGATAGGTGGAAATGACGTTGGATGCGGCGTTCACGTTTCGCGTACGTTTGTGTACGCTGCATGCAGGCGGGAGGAGTATCAGAAATCCGTGGAAGATGACTGATAAACATAACTAATTTGGTGCAAACATTTACTCGCCAGGTGGCAGGTAGAGCTAAAAAATTTACTCGCCAAATGGAGCAATTTACTCGCATTTGGCGAGTGGCGAGCGTTAATTTCGGACCCTGGATATGGCCTATAGTTAAACGCCACACTAATCATTAGCTCCCATATAAAAAAACTAAAATCCCCTTTCGTTACTCAAACTTCTTCCAAATATAATAGTTCGACTAGCATCGATTCATGTTGACTTAGCATTCAAGCTAATGCTACATTAGCCAATAGGACACCAAGCATACAAAGCTTGTTTGCTCTATTACATCTTTCAGTGAAAGAAAGGTTTTAAGTAAATTTATCCGAAAAACAATAAATAACTTACCTGTCCAAAAGATACTTTGCCAACTCTTCATCCGTTTTCAGGCCGTGTTGATCACGAAAATCTCTCCATCATTTAAAACAATCTCCAATGTAAATTCTACTCGACTGTCTTAAAAGTCTTACAGCCACTTTTGAAGAAGGGCTTTTAAACTTTTTAAATGTTTTTTGAGATGTGGAAGGCAGTCGAGGAATCAGTAATTTGGGGTTTTGTTGCTCCATGTTTCTGCAGTAAGACGAGTGAGGCTCGTGACACTGTTGTGCACGCTGAGACCTGCTCGTGCTCGATGATTGACAGCTGCCCCCTGGTGGAAACGCAGCGCTATTGGTCAACGCATTAGGCTTGCAGAAATATTGGCTGAGCTCTACAGGGCAGGGGAGGGACTTAGGAGAAAATTGAAATATTAAAGATTATTTACTTTTTTAAATAAAATTGGGTCAGATGGTCAAAATCAAACATTTTTAAAGTTATTCTACATTTAAATGTTGCAGACTGTGCCTTTAATAGAAATGAACATAACATGAACCTTCTAACAACTGGAAGTAATTCTAAGTTAGCCAAATCATAGTTTTTCTTCTTTTCCTTTTCCTCCTCCTCCTTCTTCTTCTTCTTCTTCTTCTTCTCATTTAAATGGTAGGTGGCATCAAACTTAAGGTGCATTTCTGCCACTTACTGTGTAGGAGTGTGAGTCAGATTGAGGAACACCCTAATAAATAAACTATATTCTTTTAACTAAACTACTTTTCCTAAGGAATTCCAACACTAAGTTATAAATTCTGTTATCCCCATTTAATAAAGTCCTTAAACTCAATTTTCCATATCCTTTTACTTTTAATTTTTCTTTTAACATTTTTCTATATACCACATATTTACAACAATAACATAAACCATGCTCTACAGTTTCCCTATCTTTTCCACATTCACATAAACTCGTAGGATGTTTTGCTATTAAAAGAAGAGTGCTATTTAAACCTGTGTCCCATCCTTAACCTAGATATTATTGTTTGTTCTCTGTTATTAATTTCCATAATTTTCATCATACCCACCTTTCCCTTTATGTTAAATAAAAGCCTTCCCTTTTCTCCCCTACATTTCCTGCCATTCATTCATCATCTGTTTCCTGATCATTGCTTTCACTTCTTCGACACTAGATGGAATTTCTACCAATGTGTTTAGTTTTGTTGCTTGTTTTGCATAAAAATCTGCTATTTCATTTCCCTCAACCCTCTGTGTGCTGGAACCCACATAAATCGTATTTCTATTTCTAATTTATTCAATCTAAATAGACATTCAAATACTTCTAAAAGAATATCAGGTCTACTTTCAGTTGACAATGACTTAATTGACATTAGAGCCGAGAGAGAATCTGTTCACGCGAGGGTACACAGAAAAAACCCAAATGCAGGAGGCAGGATGACTTGGTCCAGTTCTGAGTTCTTTCAATAACAAAAATCATCACATAAGTAGGGAAAAAAGGCTTAACAGGTTTTACTTGAAACAAAAATACTAATGACTATCCACAGACTCGAAGCAGCACTACAAAACAACGCCACACCGTGCACTGGGAACAGCTGCTTAATACAAGGTGTAGCAGTCAGGACATTGCAGTCAGCTGCAGCACTCCCTGGTGCTCCACAGAGGGGCAGGAATTGTAGGAAGAGCCATGGCCAACCAGAAACACACATATTAAAAACAATCATGAGGTGTAGACTTGATCACTCTCTACCTCATTTTTCTTTCTAGCTTCTTCTCTTCTAATCCTTCTGTTATGTATTCAGAAATATTAGTGCACTGTTAGGCGGTACTATTTAATGTACAAATGTAAGAACACCAAGTGTGGTGTATGTGCACCCTGATACAGTGTATTCCTCCGCAGTCAACTTATTAAAAAAGTACAGTTGTTCCACTAACTGGTGACTCATCCTTACAGTAAGTTACATAGAAGGATATAACAAATTGGCAACAAGGATTAAACGTATTCTCGGTGCACAATGGACGACAGAGAAGGGGGATTCCTTGTATGAAAGACGTAAAGACGTGGAAGAATAAATATAAGGAAGAAAAATCCAACCCTCGGCGTGGATGCTAACGCACCTGCCAGCTAGCCAAACCACTGAGAGGACGTGAGTACCGAGAGACTTTTATAAAGACAGCGATAAAATGTCGGGAGGTGTTGGACAAATGGACATTTTTGATAACCGCTCGGAAGATTGGACAGCATATGTTGAAAGGGTTGAACAGTACCGTCTGGCTAATAGAGTGGAGGATGAACGAAAAGTGGCCGTGTTACTGAGTGTGATGGGAGCAAA